CGATACAAGTAAGTATGTCATCGTTATCCAAAGCTGAATTTATTGGTAATTCTCTGAATTAATTAAAAATCCACATAGAGCAAAAACATATTGGTCACAATGTACTTTATCGCCTTGTTATACCTTATAAACAAGTTTCAGTTAACTTTAACTACAAGTTTCTTGTATTTTCGCACTTTATAAAATTTCACCTATTTATCTTTATCCATATTGATTACTATCACCAAGTTAACAATACTCGTATTTATCAATATCCAGCTCGAACATATCGCATATTCAAATTCTCGCTTAGCACCTTTATTCTCTCACAATATACTCTCAGAAAATACAGACCTCATTATCGCTGTACAACATTTCATCACCAAACAAAAAACTACTTTTTTTTCACTGCATTTCTTATTACATCAATTTTTTAATTGCATCACTTTATACTGTATTCTTTACTGACTCGCTTTTAATTTAATATACTCTCGAACTTTATCATTATAATCAGCATTATTACAACGATTGACTTGTACACTTGATCTTTATGAATTCACTCGGCCCTAGAATTACCATTGTAACTCTGCCCAAGCATAATACCACAAGAATCTTTCAAAATACGTTTACGACCTTTGTTTACACTTTTTGCTTCATTATGCAAGCTATTATAAATATGTAATCCCATTACTAAATATAAGAACTGTCCAGAAATGATTCGCAAATTTAATGGCTTAAAGTGCATATTTTAAAATGTAAGCTTATGAACTAAACCATACGAATCTTTCTAATATATTTGTTGTTATCACAGTAATGCAGCAAAAATTATGATTACTTTATTCCTTTTTCATATGTTATATATCAATAATGGATTTGCTCGATTATTATTCATTCATTCATGTTTTACCAGCGAACCTTATTATAAGTCAAATTCACTAAAGAATAAAGCTTAGATCCAATCTTCCATTTTCATATTAAATTTAACAAATATCTGACCAATTTTATTATTAAATTTGTATCCGACAGGTACCCAAATCTAAGCTCTAGTTAAAAACCTAATCACTATTATATTTTAAATTTATAAAAAAAATACAAAAACACTAAAATCTTCAAAAAAAAACTTAAAAATTCAGTAAATTTACTTTAATATTAATTTTATATCAACTCTAAATTATTACAAAAAAAAAAATAGTGAAAAAGAGTCTAATTATCCAATAATTTTTTTCGATATTTATTTTATTTCTGGAAGATATCAATTAATAAAAAAATAGCATTCTAACTTTTACTCTTATATCATAATATTTTTATAATTTATTAAGTTTATTTAAACAACTTTTTTTGTTTAAAAATTTTTTTAATATACAAAAACAAAATAATTCAGATTTAAAGATACTTTTAATTGTAAATACATATACATATATACAATAACAAACCAAATACCACAACTTTAATATTTCTAACTAAAAAATTTTCCCGTTCCTGGTTTCGTGCGACAACGTCGCGCAGCTACTTATTGGATAGGTTAGGAAGTAGGATTTACTAGTTTTGGTTTTGCTCACTTCGTAGACAATCGTTTTATAGGCATACTATAGCCAAAAATTGTACATTTTATCTGTTATAAAATTAATAGAGTTTCCAATACAGTAGTATTTTTACTTTGCTGAATTATAGATTAGAAAAATAAAATAAGTTTTCTGATTTTAAATATAAAATATTATTTCTATCTTATCTATTTTTATTTACTATTCTTTTTAACTCTTCAATCAAATTTTTAATTTCATCTTTTGACTCTTGAATTGAGTCCCTAAATTTTTTTAAAGAATCATTAATTATTATAACTTGTTGAAGCTCATCAGATTCTATAGATTTCATTTCGATTGTATTTAAAAGAATTTGAGAAATAAAAGGTTTATTTCCAGGATAATTTCCTTTTTCAATTTGTCTTATTATTTCACGAAGCTTATTTATGTGAGCTTCAAAATAACTTGATTAAAAAAATAAAGTTAGAAAGGTAGTAATACTTGGAGCATATCTATTGATAAATTTACTTACATAATTTGTGGAAACCAATTATTCTTTCTTCTTTGATAAGGTAACATATAAAACAATTCAATTTCAGCCAAAACCTATATTGTAAAAAATTAACTTATTTTCTTAATCGAAATAAAAATTTTATAAAAAATATTTACCTCAGCTCTTAAAATTAAAAATGATTCCTTATTATTTGTATCATTAATTGCATTACTAAGTAATCCAATAAATAAATTCATTAAATACATCATGGTAAATGAGAATATAACTAATAGAATAACAAGAGTTATGTTTCCTAGTATAATCCATGTTGAAATTGAAGTTTCTATTTAATTAAAATAAAATGTTTATGTTTAAAATAACAAATAAAATAACGATATATGAACATAATTTATTATTTATTATACCTAATAACATGAGATAGGTGGCCAAAATAGAACTTTGAAATGTTTCAAATGTGATCGTATTTGGATTAGAATTATTTGAATTTATTGTATCTGAGGAATAATAATTAGACGATCTTAATAAAAAATATAAAGAATTTGCAAATGCAAACATGATGAATCCTAAAATCATTAAGAAAGAAAATGCTTTGCGAGCAACACCGACTATTATTGCAAAATAAACCCCGAAGTATGATATTGCACGAAAGTAAAATAAAAATTTTAATTCAAGTAAAAGTGTTGAGATAGTAGTTTCCCATATTGGAATAGATTCATAGTGAAGCCATATATATGATGTGACAATTGGAAATATAATTGCACTCAGATCTAATCATTAAATAGTAAGAAATAAAGTTAATATTTGAGTAAAACAAATAGTTAAACAATTTCATATACCTAAATAATTCCAGATACTAGTAATATACGAAGATGGTGAAAAAATAAGTTGTCGGATTTCAAAAAACAAGTGACAAAATCCGAGTACAATAACACATCTCAATAGAAATTGTTGATAGTTCCATGAAAATTGATTAGAGAAAATTGCCGTAATAACAAAAGAGGTAAGAAAAATAGAATATATTAGCCAAATAGCTAAATAATATTTTCTTCCATATGTGTTCCATTTATAATCAAGAAGAGCTTCACCAATCCATGACCTATATAAGTTAATATTCATTGATTTTATAAAAGAACTTGGTGTTGGATAGACCAAATCTAGCCAAGGATTGTAAGGATAAGGATAAGTTACAAATTTTGGCAAAGGAATCATTAATTGAATGGTTGGATTTGACTTAGGTTTATAAATGAAGTTGTATATAAATATACAAATTTGTTTGCACTTTTCATTAAATATTTGGAAATGATATAAAAACCAAGAAATAAATAAATCAATGAATGTTGTTTCTAATATCTGAATATAAGTTCCATATTGATGAAGGTGTAAAGAATTGGAATCACTTTTAATTAAAAATTTTTTAATGTTGTGGGGCATAACAAAAGCGATTTGTGATAAAAAATCTGAAATATATGCAGTATAATTTTGAGATAATTCTGAAAATGAAGAAGTGATGATACACAATAATTCTATGTTTGCGGTAAACCCCTCTTTTGTATTTCTAATACTCAAGTCTAGGCATCCTCGAAGTATATCTTCAATTAATTCATTTTGTTTATACTCTATCAGTTTATCAAACAGTTGTGTTCCATAGCATGCAAGAAAAACTTTATCATACTTATAATCTTCTAATAATTCTCTAGAATTATCTAGACTCCAATACTTTTCATCATTAGATTTCATAATTCTATCCGTTATAAGCAAATCAAATTGAATTGTGGGAAGAAAATTTTTAGAATTTTCACAGCAACACAAGAATTCGTTTAGCATATTTATTATATTTTGAGGTTCATAATTTTCACGTTTTATTTCATTATAACGATACCAGAAATAATGTAATCTGATTCCATTTGGCTTGATCGCCC